GGATTTTGGGGTCGCCCCGGGTTTTGGGGGTTTTTGGCAGGATTTGGGGGTTTTTGGGGTTCCCAGTGAGGATTTTGGGGTCCCCCGTGAGGATTTTGGGATCCCCCCGGGTTTTTGAAGGTTTTTGGCAGGATTTTGGGGATTTTTGGAGTCCCCCCGGGAGGATTTTGGGGTTTTTTGGGTCCCCCCGGGAGGATTTTGGGGTTTTTTGGGTCCCCCCGGAGGATTTTGGGGTGCCCCCGGGTTTATGGGATTTTGGGGTTTTTTTGGGGGGTCCCCCCGGGCGGATTTTGGGTCCCCTCACGGGTTTTGGGGGTTTTTGGCAGGATTTTGGGGATTTTGGGGTGCCCCCGGATGATTTTGGGGTCCCCCCGGAGGATTTTGAGGTGCCCCGGGTTTTGGGGTTTTTTTGTCAGGATTTTGGGGATTTTGGGGTCCCCCCGGAGGATTTTGGGGTCCCCCCGGAGGATTTTGGGTTGCCCCGGGTTTTGGGGTTTTTTGGGCAGGATTTTGGGGTCCCCCGGAGGATTTTGGGGTCCCCCCGGAGGATTTTGAGGTGCCCCGGGTTTTGGGTTATTTTGGCAGGATTTTGGGGATTTTGGGGCCCCCCGGAGGATTTTGGGGTCCCCCCGGAGGATTTTGGGTTGCCCCGGGTTTTGGGGGTTTTTTGGGCAGGATTTTGGGGTCCCCCCGGAGGATTTTGGGTTGCCCCGGGTTTTGGGTTTTTTTTGGCAGGATTTTGGGGATTTTGGGGTGCCCCCGGAGGATTTTGGGGTCCCCCCGGAGGATTTTGGGTTGCCCCGGGTTTTGGGGGTTTTTTGGGCAGAATTTTGGGGATTTTGGGGTCCCCCCGCAGGATTTTGGGGTCCCCCCGGAGGATTTTGGGTTGCCCCGGGTTTTGGGGGCTTTTGGCAGGATTTTGGGGTTCCCCGGGAGGATTTTGGGTATTTTGGGGTCCCCCCGGAGGATTTTGGGTTGCCCCGGGTTTTGGGGTTTTTGGGCAGAATTTTGGGGTTCCCCGGGAGGATTTTGGGTATTTTGGGGTCCCCCCGGAGGATTTTGAGGTGCCCCGGGTTTTGGGGGTTTTTTTGGCAGAATTTTGGGGATTTTGGGGTGCCCCCGGAGGATTTTGGGGTCCCCCCGGAGGATTTTGAGGTGCCCCGGGTTTTGGGGGTTTTTTGGGCAGAATTTCGGGGATTTTGGGGTCCCCCCGGAGGATTTTGGGGGTCCCCCCGGAGGATTTTGGGTTGCCCCGGGTTTTGGGTTATTTTGGCAGGATTTTGGGGATTTTGGGGTGCCCCCGGAGGATTTTGGGGTCCCCCCGGAGGATTTTGGGTTGCCCCGGGTTTTGGGGTTTTTTGGGCAGGATTTTGGGGTTCCCCGGGAGGATTTTGGGTATTTTGGGGTCCCCCCGGAGGATTTTGGGTTGCCCCGGGTTTTGGGGGTTTTTTGGCAGGATTTTGGGGATTTTGGGGTCCCCCCGGAGGATTTTGGGGTCCCCCCGGAGGATTTTGAGGTGCCCCGGGTTTTGGGGGTTTTTGGCAGG